CAGAGGGGAAGGTTTCTAGAGATATTCGGGAACACGCTGTAAAGACAGCCTTGACTGCATTTCTGGAAGCCAGTGGAAAGCAGTTAGCAGGAGCCCAGAGGTTGCCAGAAGAGGAGGAAGATGAGGCAAAGAGGAGAGGAGAGGGGAGGGGAGGAAGGTGGAGGAAGGGCAGGAGGAAGGTCCCCCAGATCCTATGAAGAGGTGGGCCTGGGAGAAGCCTATTACTATTGTTGTTGTTATTTACCTTGGGAACTGGACTCCAACAAGTACTATTTTGGTACTGTTCTATTTTTCTGGGGCAAAGGAAAATGTCAGGCCAGAAAATGTCCCAGTTTCCCTCCCATTCCTATTCTGGTTTGGACAGATATTTCAAAGTCGCTCTTCCAAGAGTGGGACTTCTTACGAGAGAAATCGTAATAGAAGATTGTGGGAGTGGGGGAAAGGTATTCTTTTTCAAGGGTGCCCCTTCATAGGCGGCACTGAGGAATTCCAGCTTCCGGAACCGAGGGAGCCTCCAGAAGGTCTTTTGTTCATGGATATTCCATTTCTCTCCCAACCCCCATGCCCACGCCCTCCTCTCTCATTATCAAACATTTGAAGACTGAATAATTCCATTTGTTGGCGTCTTTGGCCAGAGCCTCTGAAAACGCAAAAGGCCCACCGAAATCAAAACCCCTGGTTTTCAAGGTGGATTTATCACCCTTTAAAGGGAGATTCATTGGGTAATCGCCTTCAGAGAGTGCTCATTGCACAGGGATCTAAAATAAAAAGAGTGTCCTCTCCCTTGGCCTGGGGGAACGGGCCACGGGCCACTGGCCACTGGGGGCAGGGACAAGGAAGCCCCAGTGTGGCCCTCAGTCTCTTACCCATTGGACCCATCAATTCACAGTCTGGGGCGGGAGCATCCAGAGAAAGGCCAGCTTCCCCAGCTGATGTCAACCTGGCTTGTTGCTCCTGATCCTTGGGCGTAGGTCTCTCTTTCCCATTGGGAAGGCTCATTTGGGGAACTTGGGAGGAGGAATTCCCAGGAACATTGTTGTTGCCCTTAAAAGGAGGTGTGGCGGGGCAGGAGGTGGGGGACAGACAAGGAATTCAGATGGGACAGGGAGAGGTAGAGGTAGGGATTGGTTACCCAAGCCAGAGAGAGGGAATACAAGAGTGCTTTCTAGAGGGAGGAGGTGCTAGAATCAGGTGGGCTGGGCCTGGAGATGTTCTTTTAGAGACAGCCCCAAGTAGATGCAAAGCAGAGGAGGGACCCTTCTGGAAGGTCTTTGCCCAACCCCATCTGGACCAAAGAAAGGGCTTTCCCAGGAAACAGGTCTGAGGTATAGCCTGGTGCGTGCGATGGAGGTCCCTACATACTTCAGGACACCATGGAGGGAGGAGGCAGTGCCCATGATGAATAGATTGAGAGAGGAAAACACTGGGGAGAAGTCAGAAAGGCAAGGAGTCAAAGGGGATGGGGACAAAAAAGAGATGGAGGGGCCCACGAGACAGAAAAGTGTGTGTGTGTGTGTGTATGCACGCATGCGTGCATGCGCATAAGACACAGAGACAGAGAGAGACAGGCAGACCAAGACGGAGAGAGAAGAGGGAGGGAGGAAGAAGCAGGGAGAGAGACAGAGATTAGGGTGAGGGGCTGAAGGGAAACTTTCCAGGCCAGGACCAGCCTAACACACACAATGCAGACCTGAGCTCCTCAGCAGGTTACAGTAGCGGCTGGAGGTCTTAGGAGTTGATGAATGTCTGTGTGGGGAGTGAATTTGGGCAAGGGGGTTAGCCATGGGGAGCTGAGAGGAGAGGGAAAGTTTTTTCCCCACCTCCAGCTGCAGCCGCCCCAGTTCCCAGGTGAACCCCCCTTTCCCCCGCTGGATGTGAAATCGCCATTTCACCCCGCCACACTTCTTAATTGTTGCAAAAATCATTTGTGAAATTGGTCTCCAACAGGCGAGAACGGCCACGCTCATTCCGACAGACACCCCCCTTCCTCCCCCTCCATCTGCCCCGCAGGAGCCCATGGAATCCCCAAGCTGCGAAAACTCAGGGTTGGTGCCTCCAGCAGAGAATTTAGGGGAGCCTGCTTGGGGCCTCCCTGGCAACTGGACCCTCTGCTGGGTCCTCTGCAGGGCACGGTGGGAACCAGGCGACAGGTTAGGTGGAGTCCCGCGAGGGACGCCTAGGGCTCAATGTCCCCAGCCTCAGCCAACTGGGGGGCTCTGAACAGAGAGGTGGGGCTGTGCTCTCCCCAGTCAGTGAGGAGGGACTGAAGGCTCCAGGGTCCACGCTGGCGCTCCCCAGAGGTCTTTCCTGGCCCCAGGAACTGACCGAAACAAACATTTACACCTTCCTGACTGCGCTGAGAACTAGCCAAGGCAGCATGGAAGCGACCCCCAAAACATAAACACAGACACAGACCCTCCCTTAGAAACACAGAGCTACTCAGACTGGCCTACAGGAGACCTACACACAAACCCACCTTCACCCAGACACAGGCAAAGACGCTCCGGGGTCCATCCACAAATACAGAGAATCTGTGCCTTAAATCCCTCCCAGCCAGAACGGAAAATACCGATGAATGAATGAGTGAGTGAGTGTACAACATTTTGTAATATATACGTGTATGTGTGTGTGTGTGTATTGTGTGCCTATCTGTGTTTATCTGTATATATATATATATAAAATACATAGCCACTTCTGGAAGTCAAGGCAGGCCAGACCCTCCGGCAAGACAAGAAGTAAAGGGCCCCAAATCTAATTCATTTTCCCCAGACACACACACTGTGGCTTCAAACTGCATCTCCCTGTCCCTCTCTCAGGGGCTGTGGGTATGGTGGGGTACGCCTCCAATGAAGAAAGGGGCCCAGAAAACCTTGTAGGGCCCCTATAACTCAGGCAGCCTGGCACCCTGACCTGGGCAAGGCACCCTGGTGTCCCCCTTTCCAATTCCAAAGCGACCTGGACCCTCCCCCTCAATTCTGGAGCCACCAGAGGGTGTGGGTTTAACTGCTTTTCCGTAGGCCCCCATTCCCAGAGCGCCTCCCCGCCAAGAGCCTGATGAGCCCCTTTGCTGGGAGAGAGGGAGAGGAGGGTGTCTGTCACATGCTGAGAGGGGCAAAGGTCACAGGTGAGGAAAAGGGGAGGGCAGGGGGGCACACTAGGGCCAGCCCGAGGAGAGCCCCCCAGGCCAAGACAAGGCTGACCCCAGGACCGGGAGCGGGCGGGCAGGGGGCGGGCTGCGGGGTGGGGGCCGAGATGGAGGGCTGGGTTTATTTTATTGTATTTTGCCTCCAGTGCTGGGCCGGAGACACTCTTTCCCGGGGGAGACAAAAGGCCTGCTGTCCTGGCGTCCTGCCCCGCTGGGAGGGCGTTTCGCCCCCGGGACTCGTGTCCCGGGGCAGGGGCGTCTGGTCACTCGGGCAGGGGAGAGCACAGAATTGCAGGACCTCTGATCACCACCCCCACTCCTGACCCTTTAATTGGGACACCTCCCCCCTCTAAATTCTGAGCGGATGGAGGGGCTCAGAATTGATGGGCTGAAGGTGGAACCAAGTCCTGACCCGCCTCCCTCCCAGATCCTTGGCACCCACTTGCTGTCAGCCTCAGGGCAGTGGACCGCCTGCTGGAAAGGGGTTCTGGGTTGTGGCCAGGGGGCCCGAAGAGGAAGAGGAGTTTCAACCCGGCTGGGGATGGGTGAGGGGAAGGGGAAGAGGAGGGGAGAAGAGATAGTCCCTAACATTTGGCACACTCAGTTTTCTAAGCACTCTGGGCTTCTCAGAGCTGCAGGAAACTGGGCAAGAACTGGACACCGGGGCTGAAACGTTATTTCACAGAGAAAGTCATAAACCCTTCCCTTGAAGTCACCCTAGGCCGGTCCCCCATGTGCCCCATTGGCGGAAATTTCGGAGTGTCTGAGTGAGATGAAGGAGATGTGCAGTCAGCCGACTCTGACCCTGGGAGGCCAGAGAAATGGCGAGAATCCAGAGGAGCCACCAACCGGAGGCAGACATTCCCAAGCAGCCGGGATGCCGAGAGGGGCGGCGGGCGACCAGGGGGCCGGGCCCTCGGCCGAACTGGCCCATTCGTCAAAAGAAGACACTTGCACAAAGTTGGCCCCATTCCCCTTCTGCGCCCTTCCCCAGCCCCCGGGCCTCGCTCCCTATGAGTTAACGGGCGGTTCAAATTCTCCCCCCCAAAACGAGGTCGAGCCGGGGATCAGAAAAGAGAAAAAAAATATATTCGTTGGCGATTTCTTTTCGTTATTGGTCCTCGGCTCCCTTCCGCCCTGGCCCCCTTCCCTCCTCATGAATAAAAGAAAAGTCCGAACCTATCAGATCTCGTTCGCTGCCTCCCCCCACCTCCTCGTACTCCAGTTGAGCACTTTTGCACAACTTACCCAGTGGATCACTCGCCCCCTTGCTTGCCCTCTTCTCTTCCCAGCCCCGCCACCCCCTGTCGCCTCCCCTCAAGCCCCGAAACTCAAGAGCCACCGCCTTCCCCCCCGCAAGCCTGGTGGGGGGCGGGGTGTGAAAGCGGGTGCGAGAGGGAGTCGGGAGTGTGGTCTAGAGAAAGGCGTGGAGAGGCGTGCGGGGAGGGAGCGAGCGAGCGAGCGCGAGAATAAATATATAAATAAATACGAAAGCGAACCCACTCGACAGCCTCTCGGCGCAGAAACTTTGGCCCGGAGCGCGAGAGCGCGCGGCTGCCGGTCGGACGCCACCCCTCAAGCCCGCTCGGCCGCCCGGCCTCGCCTCCCGGTTCCGCCCGGCGCGTCCGCCCGCACAACTTCTGGCCGAGCGGAGCGGGCAGAGGCGGACTTGGGGTGGCTGTGTTTGTTTGTTTGAACTTCCTTGTCACCACCTTCCCTCTCCCCAACCTCCGCCCCCACCTCGCCCCCCTCCCCAGCTTCTGGACGCGTTTGACTGCAGCCGGGGGTGGGGGGGTGGGGGTAGGGAGCGTGTGTGGAGGGGCGGAGGGGGGAAGAGGTTAAAAAAAGAGAAGTGGAAGAAGAAGGAAAGAAAGAGATCGCAGCAGGGGTGAAGGGAGCGGACGGGAGGCGATTTTTGCCGACTCTGGATTCGTCCCCGGCGTGCGCAAGAATGGCGGCCCTTCCCGGCACCGTACCGAGGATGATGCGGCCGGCTCCCGGGCAGAACTATCCCCGCACGGGGTTTCCTCTGGAAGGTAAGAGCTCCTGGGCTCGCCGCGCCTCGGCTCCTCCGCCGGGAACCCGAGGTCCTGGGAGAGGCAGCGATCTCCAAGGGGGTGGCGGCGCCAGCGGCAGCGGGAGGGGAGGAGGAGGGGTACCCTTCTCTTCTGGGGACCGAGTCCGGGCGCTGGACCCCCGGAAGTTTCCAGCGGCCGACGCCTGTCCGTTTGTGCGCGGCTTTCAGTGACCCGCGGCCGCGGCTTCACAGGTCGCGGGCTCTGGCCTTCCCCCGCAGGACGAACTCCCGGCGGATCTCGGCCGCTAGTAAATTTCAAGTCCTAGCGAATTTCAGTTCGTTTCCACTATTTTCAGATACTTTCCCCGCGGTTACTTTCTCAGCTCTCTGCGTTCGCCGGCCACAGCGCTTTCCACTCTCGTTTTGAACTGTTCCTTTTTTCACTCCTCGGATGGTCCTCCGATCCCTTTTATTTCGAAATACCAGCGATGTGGGATAGTTTCTATGTCTCAACTAGGAAGGCTATCCGCTTCTTCCAAAGCACCAGACAGAAACTCCTGCCTTTTGGTTTGGAAACAAAGTAATTTGAAATAATAAATAGTAACGATTTTCCCCCAAAAAACTTTTCACTTGGGCTTCGGAACTCTGCAACTCTCCTGGGAAAGACCCTCAGGACCGTGAGCGGGCCCCGCGGTGTCCCGACAGGGGGAAAACGTGAATTCTGTAATGTGTCCTCCGTCAATACCCAGCACCGGGGCGAGCAGAGACGACCGGCCCGGGACGGGTTCCCGGCTGGAGGAAAGGGTGGGAGCGCGCTGCCAAGACCCTTTCCTGCGTTTTTGTTTTGTTTTCTTTTTAAACTAATTGGAAGGCCTTCGACCTGTCAACCGAGGGATCACTGGGTTTCTGGGGGTGGGTAGCCCAGGGTGTCATAGAGGAGTGGTGAGAGATAGGGGCCACTTTCATTTTTTAATTACTCTTCTCGTAATTGTGTGAGCCCCTTGTGCGTGAGGAAGGGGAAAGGAGGCGGGGAGGGGATGGACGGGCGGGCCGCCCGCGATCTGGGGAGGGAGGGGTCCCTCTGGCAGCGGGATGGCGCGGGTCCCTGAATTAGACAGAGGCGAAGAGAGTGGCTTCGTGATCAAGTGCGCGCGAGCAACCACGCAGGCGGGAGAGCGCGCAAGCCCGGGGATTTGCGGTAGCACTCTCCTGTAGCGAATGCAAGTAAAACAGGCGGCCGAGGACGCGCGGCGGATTAGAACAATATTTGCCCAACATGACGGAGAATACTGAGGAGAGCCGAGCGCCGGTCGCTAAAGAGGCTCTTGAATATAAAGTTGGGCGCTCGAGAGCTCTCGAGCGCTAATGGCATATCCCGCCACGGAGACCGAGTGACTCTGACTTGGCGACGCACGATTTCTGATTAAATCCGAGGGTGGCTTCAGACACCTACTTTTACAAAGAGAGGTGGGGGGACCGGGAGCGCAAGGGAGGAGGCGGTAGGAACCGCTCGGCAGCCGAGCCCCTTCTCGCCTCCTCCCTTCCAATTATACTGGCAGCTCCCTCCACTCCCGCGTCTGTGAAATCGTTCTAATCTGCCAGATCTCTGCAGCCGCCTGGTCCCCAAATTGGGGGGATGGAGGCTGGATTAGTGCACCGGGTGTCCCCCAACCTTCTGTGAGGAAATTGTGTAGACTGCATTAAGGCCTCCGAGGAGCTCTCCCCTCCCCAGCAATACAGCAGGGGAGCCTGTCTCCCTGGTTCCCAAAGTTACCCACACTGGGAGACTCTGGCCCCTCTGTGTACCACCCTCACAGAGCCTGCAGGGACAGATCATGGTTTTCTGAAGCCGAATAGGTTATTTGATATGGGAGCTCACTGACAGCGGAGCGTCTCCCCCAAATCACCCCAAAACGAAATTAGAACTTTGAGAGGGGTTGGAAGCAAGGAGAGTCCCTCAAGGGACAGCCAGGTGACCCCAGAGGCAGCGACCAACAGCATCGTGTCACCAGTCCCTCAGCTGTTCAAGTGCAAGTAGGACAGATCTGCTGCCCAGGCCAGGGCTGTAAATGCTGGTAATTAACCAGCCTCCTCTGGCTCCCCCCAAAATGGATCAGTCTTGACCACTTAGGGCATGGAACTGAGCAGAGAGAGGGGCCACATCTTGCCAGCATTTGGCCTCCTGAAGAGGCAGGCAGACCTGCGGCCCAAACTGCATCCTGGGGGACCGAGCCCCTGGTCCCACAGACTCCCGAGACTCCACGAGCCTCTTGGCTCTGCCCTCTCCCTCCCGTTCTCAGAAGCATCAGATCCCTCTCCAGTGTGTCCTCCCATTCCCCATAGTGTGGCAGGAATGGGGGCACACGGCATCTGGGGGACTGTAGCAGCCAGCTGTGACTTTTCTCTCCATCCTTCCAGGACCCTCTCTCAGCTTTCTGACGGTTTTTTCCTGACCTCTGAACTGCCGCACCTCCAAATGTGGGGAACTCACAGTCCCTCTGTCAGGGGTCTTGGGGCTCCAAAAACACTGGAGTCAAGGGGTGTGCTCGCTGTCTCCTCCCCATCCTCACCCGGTGCCTCTCTCCTTCCTCGTCTCCCCTCCCTTCTCCAGTGTCCACACCACTTGGCCAAGGCCGGGTCAATCAGCTTGGTGGGGTCTTCATCAACGGGCGACCCCTGCCTAACCACATCCGCCACAAGATCGTGGAGATGGCCCACCATGGCATCCGGCCCTGTGTCATCTCCCGTCAGCTGCGTGTGTCACACGGCTGCGTCTCCAAGATTCTCTGCCGCTACCAGGAGACTGGGTCCATCCGGCCTGGGGCCATTGGCGGCAGCAAGCCCAGAGTGAGTGTCTTTGCTGCAGAGCTGGCAGTTGGCCTTCCAATGTTTGGGGGATCCTGGTTGTGGCCCTTCTCACTACCTTGTGTCATCCAGCACCCCTGGGGTGTCCAAATGCTTCCTATGGAAAGTACAGGAGGAGGGTGTGCTCACCCCCAGATGTCCCTCTCATTATTTGGATTTCTAGGGGATAAGATAAATGAGGTTCCAGGTTGCCCAGGTCTTTGAGGCCAACGAGTCATCCCTGGGCTGCCCCTACATCTGCCCCGACCCCCAGCATCATCCCAGACCAAGGGAAATCTCCCCCCTCAGTCTTGCCTGAAATAGTGAGCGGGGCAGTGGGGGGGGGGGTCCTAAGAGTCCTAATTAGGTTCTATCTTATTACCTCTGACTACCCTATGCACCTGGCTGCCTTCCTTGGAACCAGGCACAGGTTTTGTGAAAGGGTAAAGTCAATCTCCGAAGGGGGGAAAGGGGAGGGACATGGAAACCAGAGCCACCAGCCTGGCCTGGGGCTCTTGGGAGTTTGATATTAAAAGTGTCTCCCTCCCCGCAACCCCATCTCTCCACTCCTACTCTCCCACCTCCACCTCTGAAGCAGGTGGCGACTCCGGATGTGGAGAAAAAGATCGAGGAGTACAAGAGGGAAAACCCAGGCATGTTCAGCTGGGAGATCCGAGACAGGCTGCTGAAGGACGGGCATTGTGACCGCAGCACCGTGCCCTCAGGTGAGAAGGCAGCTGAGCCGGCCAAGCACAGTCTGGCCGGGCGCCACTGAACGGGGCTGGAGGCGGGACAGGACAGGACGGAAGGTGATGAATGATGGGGAGCTCCAAGGAGAGTTGTGAGGAAAGGGAGCAGGAATGAAGAGTTAGGGCAAAGGAGGGAATCAAAACCGAAAGGAAGATGGACGGACAGAAGGAGCAAAGTAAAGAGAGAAAATTAGGAAAGAGAGAGAGAGGAGAAAGAAGAAAGAGGAGGAAGGAGGGAAGGAAGGAGGAACAGAAGGGGCAAAAAAGTTGTCCTCTGGGCGCCTGGGTGGCTCAGTCGTTAAGCGTCCGCCTTCAGCTCGGGTCATGATCCCAGGGTCCTGGGATCGAGTCCCACATCAGGCTCCCTGCTCCGCGGGAAGCCTGCTTCTCCCTCTCCCACTCCCCCTGCTTGTGTTCCTGCTCTCACTGTGTCTCTCTGTCAAATAAAAAAAAAAAAAAAGTTATCCTCTAAGGCTGGGTGATAACAGAAGCTCCCTTGGGGCTTTCTTTCTCAGAGAAGTGGCCTAGAAAGATGGGTCTGTCCTAGGAGGGTTGATCTCCATGGGCTCCCTGGGCCCCTTTCCCCAAGTCACTCTTTCTGTCCTGTCAGTGTCACCAGCCAGCAGTGGCTCCCAAATATGGAGGCCCTCCACCACGCTGCTGCCCGTGAGACAGAAAGCAGCCTGGGGTGGATGTGCGCGTGTGCACGTGGAGGGGGGCATCCAGGCATGCAGCGAGGGGACACACACCTGGGTGTAGAGGTGGCAGCCACAGGGGCTGGAGGGCCTCTGGCAAGGTCCTGGGGAAGTGGATGTGGGTGTGAGTGCATCCAGGGGATGTGACCGTGTTAAGCACAAGTGTGCGCAAGGAGTAGTAGAGGAATGCCACCGTGAGAGTGTCCCAGAGGAGCCGGCTTCCCTAGCCGGCGACTGTACTCGGACGTAAATGCTTAAATGGGGAGGGGGGTTGGCAGTGGGTGTGAATCCCCTCGCAGTGTGTTGCAGGGCCGGACTGCGCCGCTTTCTCCCAGGGGCCCAGGTCGCCCGGCTCCAGTGCCCCAACAACTTATACTTGCTCTTTTGCCTTTGAATTTCTGAGGTTTAGTGAGTTCGATTAGCCGCGTGCTCAGAATCAAGTTCGGGAAGAAAGAGGAGGAAGATGAAGCAGACAAGAAGGAGGACGACGGCGAGAAGAAAGCCAAGCACAGCATCGACGGCATCCTGGGCGACAAAGGTAGGGAACCTCCGAGGGGGGCCTCCGCCGCCGAGCCCCGCATCCCTGCACGCGAGGGTGCGGGCCAGTGGTTCTCTTCCGCCGCCGGCGGCTAGCGACAGCACTTGAGCGGGCGGACTCGCAGCCCCGGGGGACAGCCGGGAGACCCTCGGGGTTTGCGGAGGGCGCCCCCTCGGCGCGCCCCGGACTAGGGCAGAGCGCGGAGCCGGGGCGCAGACGGCCTGGGTGTCCCCGGGGAGCCGGCTGCAGGTTGGTGCACTGCGCGCCCCTGAGCGCACGAGCCCCGCGAGCAGGGCCCGGCCGGGCACTCGGGGGCGTGCGCCCTGCGGGGCCCGCGTTTTGGCGGCTAGTCCCAGTCCCGGTCTATTATTTATAGGACGCTTGGACAAGGGGGCGGGGGGCGAGGAAGGAGGAGCCGACCTGCGGCTCCCTAAATGAATTTGTTAACCAGACCCGCACACGCTCTCTAAACGGTCCCTTGAAACCCTGCCTGACAGTTGACTGACCGCTGCAATCAATAAAAATTAGCGAGGCCCGCCGCCTAACCCTCAGCCCCGCGTTGCCAGGGCCCCGAACCGAGAGAGTGGCGGGTGGGTGCAGATGGGTGCACCAGTCGGGCGCTTGCCTCTGGCGGGGCCAGTCGTTGAGACCGAGTTCCCCAAGGCCCAGGATCGGAGGATCTCAGGCGGGGAGAAAGCTTCCGACTGCACCCACCCTCTCCCCGCACCCCCCCCCCCGCCCCTTGCAGCGCCGCTGCCCCGACGGCTGGAGTCTGAGGCTTGCGCCCCTCTTTTTCTCTGGTCCGCTAGGGAAGGCGTTTATCTTTCAGGCGTCTGCACACTCGGGGGAGGGGAGTGTGCTTGTATTTATTGGCAGGGGAAGTTTCGGGAGAAGGGAAAGTCTTCCTCATTATCCCCTCCCCTTGAAGTTCTCTTTGAGACTCGGTAAGCCAGCCTTAAGTGGGGGAGGGAGGGTGAGAAACAGAAATAGAAGGCCCAGAGTCACAAAGACTGGCTGGGGGAAAGAAGCGAGCCCACAGACGGGCATGCCGGGAGGCAGCAGCAGACAGGAAAGACAGTGGTCACGAAAACCTGCAAAGCGGTCGCTTTGGAAAAAGTGGGGGAGTGCCCCAAACCTAGAAACCTGTGAAGAGCACATTTGGCTTGAATTTCTTTCCAGAGGTGTCTCAGGGTACCCCTCTCCTTGCCTCCTGTGAACTCCTAGCCCAGGTCTCTCTCCAGTTGTCAGTAGTCTCTCCCAACCTTGAAGATGAACTTCACAGACAAAGCCGGCTTCCAAAGACAACACCCAGGAAGGCCCAGCCCCCACAGGCCTGGTCGAGGGGGAAGGTGGGAGGAGGGGCAGGGGCAGCCCCTTTGAGAGAGCAGCCTAGAGCTGGGGAAGGGGCGGGCTACTGACATTCAGGGCCCCAAGTGGAGCCCTGTCCCGCCGGGGACAAAAGGGCGAGGGATGAAAGGGAGCGAGCTGTGCCTGGCACCCCGCTGTGCTGGGCCGGCCTCGGAGCCTCGGGTCTGCAGTGGGAATTACCCCTGTGCTGCTCAGGAGCCCCAGGCTTGGCGGAGGCAGCCCAGAGCCCTGGGACCCCTGCAGGGGGACCCACTCCTGACTTCAGTTTGTATCCGAAAGGGACTTGCTTGGACTTCTTTTTTGTGGGGTGGGGCACATTGAACTTGAAATGATCTTTCCTGGAGAAATACCACACAGCAGATACCGTTTCTGAGAAGTACCCGGGAGAGGCAGAAGGAGGTTTGGTTTTATTTGGAGAGACTTTAAGGTGTGTGTGTGTGTGTGTGTGTGTGTGTGTGTGTGTGTGTGTGTGGCGGGGGTTTGTTCAGCTCAGTCTGTGAGGAAGCAAAATAAGTCTCTTCTGAGGAAGAAGGAAAGGAGAGGAAGGGGGTAGAAAGCCTGTGCTTTGGGGACCCCTTTGGCTCCAGGGAGTTTGGGTGCTTCTGGCGCGGGTCAGGGCTTACACAAAACTGGCTCACAGGCAGCTTCGCTGGAGAGAGGATTTCCCCTCAGCAGAACCCGGAAGCTCCAAATCTCCAAGGGTTTAGGAGGAGCCTGGCAGTTCCAGATGGGGAGGCAGAGAGCACAGGAGCTGAGTCTGGAGAGGAGCTGCAGAAACGAAATGGAATCCGTGGGTCTGGTATCCAGAGAGCCTGGCAGGTTTTGAGTGACAGTGGGCACGTCGGGCGCTGGGACCGTGAGCTGGATGGCTGCGTAAGCGCATGTGACTCTCCGGGTGGCTGTTTGTCCGTGGGCCGTTGGATCGTTGTGCCGTGGGTCGTATTCTGTGCAAGTGGGGTTCTGCGTGGATGTGCAGGGTGTCTGTACGTGGGTGGGAATGGGCAGAATGACAGTGGGGATGAGGGAGGGTTGTCTGTCCCTCCGGGGACAAAACATATCGGCCCCCTGAGTACCTGGGCCAGTAGGCAGGCATCCCAGTGAACCACCCAGCTGGAACCTCTCCTCTCTCTCCCAGGCCCCAGCCATCAGTTTCATGGCCAAGTTAAAAGTGAAAAGACCTCCTAACCTCCACCCAGGTCGACCAGGTGGGGAGAGGCAGAAGATGCCTCAAAGGGCAGAGCAGGGGGAGGGGTGCACACCCACAAACTTTGTTTTGGTTTCTTGCTCTTGACAAATGCTTTCTCCCGGGGTTACCCCTCTCATGGCGGGGAGCCTTCCAAGAAGGGGTTTAAGAGCTCTCCTCTTTAAGCGCTAAAGAGAGATCCCTCCCTGAGTCCGTTTTTCCCTATCGTCCGCTTGGCATTTAATAATGTTAAGACTTATTAGAGCTGGTAATGAAAACTGGGGCTGCTGAATAGGAAACTGTGTTGCAGAAGGGTGTTATAGCTCCCAGGCATGGTAAGAAACTATTTATCCGCAATCAGTCCTCACTCTCAGAGTTTGAAGCACAAACGTTAAGTTGAAGGGTTTTAAAGCAGATTAAATTGAGCTTTTATTTCTGTGCACTTTCATCTCTGAACAGCTCACTCCTGCTCCCCTTGGGCTGATATTCATGAGGCTGTTCATATTTTTTTTTTTTTTTTGCTCTTATCCTTGTTAAGACTGAGTTATTAGGATTGTTGGTTGTGAGAATTTCAGACCACAAGCGGATAGGGGCTCCAGCCATGCTCTCCTCACCTGGAGAGGGAAATGGACAGTTCCTTGCCCTCATCCACTTGGACTCTCTTCTCCTCACCCCTTCTCGGAGAATCAGGGGAGACACAGATCAGAGACCCAACCGGGAAAGGATTTGAGGACGGATGGGAAAGAAAAAGATTTTCCTAGCTTGAGCCCAGGGAGACTCTGGTGGGAAATTTGATAGGGGTTTGCAAAAAGTCAAACCATTTCTCTGAGGGAGCTAAGGGAGTCAGTGTGAAGAAATAATAATAATTTTAAAAAGGCAATAACAACAGCAATAAACAATAAGAACACCAAAGCCTCATGCATCTGACTATGTACAAACTTAGGCTGAAACTGACCTGATCAGACATGGGGCTCCACCTGGGTCTCTAGGGTACAACGCCCAGAGAGGTCACAGTTAATATGAAATAAGGGGGGGGGGTGTCACAAGATTTAAAAGAAGAAGAGCGTGCATTTCCTCTGTGGGGAGAAGTGCCATTGTCAAAGTCCATCCAAGAATTTGCCGACTTCCCGGGTATGAAAGACCATCTGGGGTGGGGGCCGAAGGTGGTGTGTGTGAGGCAGATCTGTGTTTCAGTGCATTTTTCCTTAATTTATTTTTAAAGCAGCAAACTTACAGGTGTGGTGTGGGAGATGACCGAGAAGGCTCGGAAAAGAGGAGAGAGCCCAAAGTGTCGGTTTTAGACACTTGTAAAAGGAGGTGGGAAACAATTTAATTTGGCAGCGCCACTAGCTGCTAATGCGGTTTTCGGTCGTTTGCTACACTGGAGGAAGCTGTTTTGATTGTGTGTACAAGGACCTGCCAAATTTAATTAGGCTCCGGGGGAGCTCATGAATAGGGGAAGGGGGGCACGGCTCCCCTCAGCCCACACCATTTTTTTTCCCCCGGCTTCACACCTGGAAGGGGCATTGTTTACCGGATAGGCGAGAGCGGCAGAGGGAAGGGGAGGAGGCGTAGAGGGAGAGGGGCCTGGGAAGAGGGAGCGAGGGAGGGGACGGAGATAGTCCATTTATCAAGAAACAATCTGCATTGATTTAAACCAACAAGTTCCCTCCTCTGTAAATGTGTGTTTAGAGAAAGGTAATTGACACTCCACCAAATCAAAGGATTACCCCGGGTTGGCAATCTAATCAAACAGAGTCCAGGCGGGATTTGAGGCTGTTCAGAGTGGGATCAGCTTCGCATAATGGGGGCTCGGAGGAAGATGGGAGGGTGTCAGGCAATTCCCCGGCTTTAGGCTGCGCTCAGTGGTGGATATTCAGTGAGACCAGAGGGAGAGAGGGAGGGGGGGCGAGGGCTCCGCCGCGCCCGGGCAGTGGGGGGATGGGGTGAGCGGAGAGGGGGCGAGCCCACACTGGGCCGACAGGACTCCCCCTTTCTTCCCTCCATCCCCCCAACCGAAGAAGAGAGGGGAAGGAGGGAGCTGAGACTAACGAAGAACAACAATGAGATAAGTATTACAAAGGCAAACACTGGCGCTCGCTCGCTCACTTGCTCGCAGCCCCGGAACCCGCGGTAAATAAACAAAGTCGGCAAACTGTTTGCCAGATAAACTCGTGCCTAAATCGAGTGTGACGGGCAAGGAGAGTAGAGACAGAAGGAGATAAGGTTGGAGGGGGAATGAACGAACATAATCTAATAGAAGACATTTAGCAAACAAACTTGAAACAAGGGAGAACAGGCGAGCGGAGGGTAATTATCCGCCCCAGAGATCGAGGGAAGCCTTTGGAGGGCTGGGGGTGCGGTGGGGGGGGGGGCAGGAGCCGCGGAAGAGATGCGTGTTGGGGGGGGGTGCCTTTGGGACTTCACGGGGAACCAGGAGAGGGTCCCC